TTCATTAATTATATATAACTATAGGTACTATAATCATTATATTATTATCATTGTTTATACATACAAGTAGAATATATAACTAATATAAGTATACAAAACAATGATAATAGTATTATAAAAATACACCTTACTAACTAAATTTTAATTTCACCCATTTTGATTCTATAAATTCATCTTTGAAACCGATTTTTTTAATTTCCATAGTATAATAAATTACATTATTTGAATGTATTTTAATTTTTATTACTGTCAAATGATCAATTTTCAAATCAAAAAACTAAAGTAAAATTAATTATATTAATTTCTTTCTATATAATATAACCGCACGACCAGAATACTTGTAATATATTCATAATATCATTATTGTTTTGATAATAAATTAACAGCTTACCAACTAAAATTGTATTGCATCCGTTATTGGTTCTTCCTTCTAAAAAACCGATTTTTCGACTCTCAATTATTTTTTTATTTCCATATTATAATAACATTATTTGTATGTATTTTATTCCTGTCACTTTATATAGCTTCTGGGTACAATAGTTTCTGTGTTTCATGATGAAATACGATTGAACACAGTCGTTATCGTGCTGATACTTTTTGACCAACATGATTGAGGGTGTTCAGCCTTTTTTTTTATTTTCGCGGTATGTCTACAAACTTTTCGTTATTTCCATTCGGGCCATTAAATACGATATATATTTTTATTATTGAATTTTCACGGAATGTTTTTGACAATATTTATTATCATTTTAAATTATAAATATATTTTAATTGAACCCCGAACCTTATATATGGTGTACTTACTCATAAAATTAAATTAAACGTTACTTAAAGCTGCAATCAAAAGGATCTGTGAGTTTAAGATCATTTTTTATTGAAATTGAATTGTTATTTTATTCGTGTTCAATATAAAACCGTATAGAGTTTGTATATGGTATTAATTAATTATTGTTTGGATTTGCTATAAACATATGAAATTATTTACCTAATGATCTTATTATAACGCCGTTACACATGAACTGGCGCTTTGTTTTTTGCTGTTTTTTTGTAAGTGTTTATTTTACGCCAATTTAGCTTACTATCTATGGTATCTGGTATAGAAGATTCGATCAATTGTCCATTATTCTTCAGATATTATTCAATAAAATAACTTTATAAGAACGAGTGTCTTTGGCCGATAGGTATACCTATTTCGATCTACCGATATTTTACGCACCAATAAATTTAAATTTTAAATCGATCAATTTAATTTATTGTTAAGGTAAGTATATAATGTTCACCCACATAAAAAGATTCGTTTTGATTCTTCCTCGTAGTATGGTACAGTGCATATATATTATATATATATTTCTTTTATTTGATTATTTGTTTTATTAAATACCTATTAAAATAAAACACAATGTTCTAATATATAACAAAATTACGTACCCATTTATGCTGAATTCGTGGTGAAGTAGGGAATTACAATATAGGTACTTTACTTTTATTTGAAATAAATTACATATAAAAACAAATAAATTTGATTTAAACATTGAAAAGTTCATTTTATTTAAAATGGCAATTTTACTACTAAATTATAAATATTGAACTAATAATCCATTAAACAATACATTATTTATACAAACCTTAATTAATCATTCAATATATTTTTGTACATCGATTGGCAGACAGTTAAACATTACAGAAGTCAGATAAATGATAATTAATGAATTATTGACCAACACTTGTATTTGTGTACAAGTAGATACTATACCTACTTTTATGTTAAATAATCTTTTTTCCCTCACAAGTTTGCCCCAAGTTACAAGTAAATAGTATAAATACAGTTGGTGGTAAACAAAAAATTATAGTCAACGCAGTTTAGGTAACTTTGTTCAAATGTAACAACTATGAATATTCTATGATTTTTATAAATTACATTTGAATTTAAATCCATAAAATCGTTTCACTGTTATTTTTGCAACAACATAAAAAATATCAAATCATCAATAAAAAATAGGAACCCATTTAGGTAATACGTATGTTTCCATTGCGTGTTAAGTTTTCAGTTAACACGTGTTTTCAGAGATTTCTGTCCTAACCACTCCACAGATGTTGTACCTATAGTTGGTAAACAGTGAAGCTATAAGGTCGATTCCCGTATGCTACCGAGCTGGTAGTTTTTTATTTTACAAAAATTTCTGCTGAAAGTTTGCACACAATTCTGGACGTAGGAGTAGTTTTTCGTCTTATCGCGGTGCAATAATATTATAATTATTTTCTTTAACGGTTGACCAGCATTATTGCATTAGTAATGCAGCATTACCTTCCTGCAGAATTATCGTGTAACTGTATATGATAAATAAATTATAAGTTATAATATTATAAATCATAACGCCCTTAGAAAAGTTGTAAGATATATTCTTAGACATTTTTAATCAGTATTAATGTATCATACACAAATATTTAAAGTACAAATTTCAAATTTTAATGTATATCAGATAATAATATATATTTTAGTAAAGTAACATAGGATCAATAATTTGAAAACTATTAGAAAAACTAAAATAATTTTACTAATTTATTGCAAAAATAAATGAGTTATATTTATGTAATACCTACCTACTTTGTTGTACGAATAAAACAGTATAAAGAATAATTTATTTTTAAGATAATTAATTTTAATTTAATTAATAATTTATTTAATTTAATTTTAAGATAATTGCAATTTCAACAGTTTGCCGTTGCACAAACGGTTTATTTCGTTACCCAACATGGTCGTGCTGAAAAATTCCGCAGCCAAAGCATTAGAGATCAAATGGAAATCAACGCCCAATATAATACTACCGGTTTTCGACGATATCTGGAAAATAAACAGGAACCGTCGGAAAGCGGTGATTTCCATAGTTTGCCGTTGAACAAAAGGTTTCTGTCATTATCAGTAGAGTGTTTTGGTAGGTTCTGGGTCCCCCGCAAATCCAAGTAATCCTATTACCCCGCCCACCCTATAGTCGCGCACGTACGCGAGCATCCCCTCCCCTCCCCGCCCATCCTATCACGCAGGTTATTATCCCATTGAACTTTTAAACTTAAACGTTAATATAATCTTACATTATGTTAAATATTATTTAATTATCTGACTATGGGTACCTGTCGTATATTGTAGACAGTCGTCTAAATATTATTTCATATATGTAATAGAGGTGGGAACTTTTTATTGTAAACCATTGACATAGGTCAGTGAAGCATAATTTATGTGCTGAGACAGCTATAAGATTACTATATAACACCGCCGCACGCACAGGCACGAGAGAGTCCCTATAATTATAGGTATAGTAGGTACTGTGGTCGTACGTGTGAAACGTCGATCGTAGTACGGGCTAGGCGATCTGAATTCGCCAAGTGTATTTTATTTGTGTTTGTTTTTAAAATATAATAAAAGTGTTTCCGACTTGAAAACCCGAGTTACAATTATTTAAGTCATTCTTAAGTTCTTACCTTTAATAGGAGCAGCGCCGGGATATACGTACTATGTGTCAACGAGGTTTTATTAAACTGAATAGTGCCAAGGTATATGTAATCTTTGAGTAATTTTACTAGATTGGAAAGAACTTAGGATTAACAAACGCACACCATCGTACCTCCAAGTTAACAGTACCATTCTAATTAATTTTAGAGAGTGTCATTAGCTAGAGAATACGAGGGTGAGGCGTATAGTAGGTTTACCACGTATTATCCAATACGGGTGATACGACAGTACTTACATTTGAAAAAAAAATACTTTACATTTATGAAAATACGTTTGAAAATATAATATATATTATATTATATATTATTATATATATTTATAACAATAATAAGTTGGCTTGAATGACTTTTGTCGTCAACTGTCCTAAGAAGTTATTTTTTCAAATATTTCAGTAAACAAACAACTATTGAACTATTACATTATTTGTCATTAAGAAATTGTTCAAAAATTGAAAAATGTACAAAGAGCATACCATAATAGTGGTAAATATTATACTATAGCCTAAAACTGATTTATAACTGAAAAAATAAAATCGTTTGGTATTTTTTAGATGGATCATTCGGAAAATATAAGAATACGTGATCATTCAAAGAAGAACATTATAATGATTGTAATGTTAATTATTTTATGTTCATGTGTGTTGTCAACAGGAAATATTATACCATTAAAAAAACAACAAGTAAGTTGATTGTTATAATATCTTGCACACGACTAAGGGCCGTTTTTACAATTAACACGGGAGCTCTCCACGGCAAACGTCGAATTGGTTCCCAGGTCATTTAAAGTGTACGAATTGGTTCCCGTTACGAGCAGGTATACATAGTAGGTAGTTTATAACGATTATGATAGAAACTATTATAGTGTGTACAGGGTGACTTTCAAAATCGTCTGTAAAATGTACCCAAATAAGATAAAACGTACGTTTTGCCAGCCCCCTCTCAAAGGAAAAACTGTAAACAAATTATACAGATAACCTCCCAAAAGAAAAATCTCTTTTTAATATACAATCCATATTAAATAAAAAACTAAATAGACAACTGTATTTAATAAAAAAATATTATAAGTACAATTGAAAATATCTTGATTGAATAAAAAATCTGTCTTGACAAAAAATGAATTTTTTGTTTTTGGAGGGGAGGAAGGTCGTGTGAATTTTCAAACCGGGCGTGCGAATTCGTGTGAATTACGTGCTAAATGTCTGCAGAAGAAAAATTGCAAAATGTTAATTTGGACCTCCGGGGGGGGGGGGGGGCTGGCGAAACGTTATGCTCTCTTGTTCTCCGGACACCGTGAAAAATGCCGCCCGGTGGTCGAGGATCTCGGACCGGCTGTGCCGAATCCGATGCGTTAGACCGCTCGGCCACCTCTTCCCCCTTAAATATTTTTGTGATTTTAACTTAACTTTAATTTTTTATATTTTAAAGGAACCAAAGGAAATCAAAAATGAAATTTTCAATTTCACATTATTCGAATTAATTGATGAAATAAAAAAATGAACATGTCCAATGACTACAGTCAAGATATAAGAACACGTGACGTGTCAAAGATTGACACGGCTGTAGATGCAGCATCATTTTTGGTTGGTATGGTACAAACGTATTTAGGAAAAGATAAACAAAAAAAATTAGAATCACCTGCAGGTGCAGTTCATATTGTTATTAACACTAATAGTAATAATCAATTTTATAGCAATTCTTCAAATGTAAAAGACAATTAGAGTATATATATCATATTAATTTTGCACTCTAAGTGTCTTTTACATTTGAAGAATTACTATAAAATTGATTATTATTAATAACAATATGAACTGCAATTGTACAATAGCTGCAGTTTCAGCCGATTAACCGTGATTGTCTATTACCACACTGATGATACCAGCTGCCGCTGCAGAAGATGACGGGATTGAGACGCCGTTATCCGATGGCGTGCGGCTTGTGGTAACCGTGGATACGGTTACCCGCGTTGGCGGTTGTGATGAGGGGACGGAACCGGCGGTAAGCCGGTAACCGCAGTGACACCAAGACGTCCGCGCCGTTCCCTGTGGAAATTCCACCAAGAAATTCCTCAGGCTAATGTCCTGCTGTGGTGCGACTGACCGCTCAGACGTATAGATGAGTTTATATGGTTGTATAACAAGTATAGTTTTGTATTTCCGCGTCGCGGTCGTCTGTTTTCGGGCATTTACCTTATCAATCGTACTCTCTGTATAATATTCACTCTGCTTTTTCACCTTAATGATGTACTCAACCTCGCTATATCACTCCGCTCCGGTAGACATCTCTCCATTTGTGTCATAGATCCGCTGTGGTAATCACCGATGTATATTAGTGGTTACTACTGCCTGCTGCCCTCCACCAGCACTTTTTCACCTACTCTAACCCCGAACAGGGAAAATGTTTTGTAAAAAATGTATACCTATCTAAATGATTATACAATATGGCTATGCTAGTGTAATAATGTATATGTAAATTGTATATTATGTAAATTGTATAATATGTAAATTATATATTATGAAATTAACTAGAATAAAATTGTGTGTTATGTTTTATAATATTTGGTTTTCATTTGATAATATTATTAATAAATATGTCAACTGGCTTGTGTAAAATGAATTAATGCGGCTTGTGGAAATTCTATGTATTTTGTTCAGGTATACTTACGGTTTTTTTTTTTAACTAGTATCTAAAATCTCACGAGGAACTTTTTATTAAATTATCAAGCTTCATCTATACAAATAAAATACCTTTATAACTGTTTAAATGTGAGTACACCCGATGGATGACAATTCGATATTAATATTAATTTTAACGTAAGACACTAATTATTTCAAAAACTTTTTTAAGTTCTTGCAAATATTATTTCTTCATAACTTTAGGTCGTTAATAATAACTTTTTTCTAAAAATGTAAATATTTATAAATTTTAGTAACAAGGTAGGTACCTAATAAATTACTTGTCCAAACTTTATTTTTAAATATTGAAATACTCCGAAAAGTTCAATATTATTTTGATAAAATTGATAGTAATGATATTCTTTTATCTAAAAGATGAGAACTTTTTGCAGGTCGGATTAAAGCCCTAATTTTCATTTCCCTTTAAATAGTGAAGCAGCAGTTCGCAGTTGCCCAGGGCTACACGGTTAAAAAATGTATACCTATTATAAGCCCAGCGGTTTTGAAGTATGAATTGTTTAATAACTTAGGTACGTGTGGTCGATGTTTCATAACCATCTATTAAAATTATATAAATAATATAATACATTATACATAACTAATACATAATATTAAAACATACCATCCACGTACACCTAGTACAATAAAAACTAATATGAAATCGATACCCAAATTCTTGGCTCATACTTCATATAGTAAAACCGATTTTTGGTAAATTGGAATCCCAACTACCCAGTACCCTTTTAACTGTAATAATTGTATACAACCATACGGACATAATAATTTTATATTATTATCAGTATGAAAAAATACATCTTCTCAGTTCTCATCGTAGTATAAAATATTATGTTTGAACACGGTGTTTGCAGCTTTCTTGCGATGGTCTAATAGTCACACGATATTAAGATAATAATAAGTTATTTGTACATTGTTAATTTAATAGTACCACTATATCGTACCACAGGTCGAGAAAATAGGTAAAGAATTTTACAATTTTTAATATAAACATATTATTCTACAGTTTAAACCCTGTTATTTTTATTATAGTTTGCTTATATTACCTACATTACGCTTGTTCATTGCCTACTAATATTGCCTACTATATTCGGTTGTACCATATACCTACGTCAAACTGTAGATACCGACTATGGCCAATAGCCTAAGTTAAAATATAATCAGTCAGTTGCAGAACAAAAATGAGATATTGAAACCGAGACTGAATAACTGATCAACAGCATCGAAGAAAAAAAACGCATTCAAGATACAATTAAAAAATATTCAAAAATTTGCTACGATAAAAAACTTATGGATATTGTCTATAACATTAAATGTAATTTTATTATTTATTGTACACACAAGGAGCGGTACACCAATTAATAACCAGTCTACCAATCCAGTGGCACCGAACTAATTTTTTTTAGGTGTGGCAATGAACAATTATTTATACCCACCTACAGCCATTGGATATTCGATATTAATCTTTTTTTTTTAAAAGAAATATACAATCTATTCAAGGTACTTAGCATAATAAGTATATGTGATAAGAGACTTAAAAATAACATGGTAGATGTGATTAAGATTTAGATTATTTCCAATCTTTAGCTATACAAATTGAACGTTTTATACATTTTTAACCAAAAAAAAATTTGCAAATGTTTGCTGTATTGACGCTTATGATGGGTAAAAGATTTATCAGTAATTTTTTACACAATTAATCTTTACCTTTAAAAAATAAAAACTGTGGTCTGTGGTGTACATTTTACTTGCAAGATTATAATTGTTTAATGATTTTACAGTTTTACTCAAATTTAATAAATATACTTTAGATACCTAATACTTCTTAAAGTAAACTAAAAAAACATTTTTTTTTTTTTTTTATTATTCATATTATGTTTTTATTCAATCTGTTACAAAAAAAAAGAAGAACAATTGATGGTTTGTACGTTAAAAACAAATAAAAATAAAAAGTCAGATTAGTTGAGGACTCCCAGCGGAGGTACTACGACATGAGTAAAAAAACATTAAATATATAATTGTTTTTAAACAACATAATGTACTCCAAGTTTAGTTTTAATTTGTATTAAGACATTAAGAATGCATTTGGGTAGAATAGTTAAAATTTTTAAAATAAATTATTTTAAAATGTTATCCAGTAATAAATTAAAATATATTATAATACAATTATTGGTTAGGTTACAAGTACACAAGAGAATGGCAAAGACAGTAACGTGTTGACGCGTTGTATCGTCTTTTGATAATCTGATCCTAAAATATAAACTCTGAAGTATATAGATATTTATATTATAATGGATACTGTCTGTATAATAGTAATATAAATGACGTCGGGAATCAACCGAACACTGCAGTGGGATGTCAACCAACAATCACCAATAACCCACCACCGATTTAAATCATCTTACAAATTACTACAAATACATTTCATCACAATTTAAACTATAGACGATTATTTTTTTAATAATTTAAAAATGTATTCATTGCTATTGTCAATTAAGATTTAATTTGAGAAAAAAATATCAATTAATCTCAAATTATTATACTATTATACATTTTACTACATTTATAACGAATAGTATTAATTTAAAGAAACATTTAGTGTTTTATTTTTTTTGGGCATTGCTGACTAGCAGATAAAATGGTGCAAACACTGCTTGCGTCGCAGCCAATTGAAGTATTTGGATAAATAACTAGGAGGTTATAGTATAATTTTTTTTAAGACTTCAAACTGGATGGTTTTTAGCTGGTTTTTTCTGTTTACAATATTCCAACATCATTATTTTTAACTTGCGATTCACTATGTCATGCGAGAGGTTCAAAAATAAATCATAAAATGAACTTCGCGTTTTTTTGACACTCAGCAACCAAATTCGGTGTGTGTGGGGGCTACGGTTGGTACGCGTTTTTTTATGTGAGGCAGATAGATCGTCGCAAAGAACCCTGGTGGTCACCCATCTGGGAACCGGCTCGACAGCTGCACACATTATTATATTATTGACTGCGTCCAATCACCGCGCTTCACCATAAAATGAACTCTAATATCAACCACGTTAAATTGGATATTATATTTTTATATATTTACCAGTTTAAATTCTTGCCAAACTTATTATATCTATGTAACATTTGACGTATGAACAAATTGTATACAATATTAAAATCCTTAATATAGCAAGAGTACTGAGTAGTAAAATATATAATTGTATAACATACACATTATTGTAAATTGAATCATTTGTTGGTCGTTGCCACATCGATAAAATCAAATATTTAAGTAAATCGATTGTCATATTTTAAAAGGTGATTTCGAAAGGATTTAATAGAGATACTTGTATATTTTATAAAATTAAGGTTTCAGAAATATAGTAAAAGTATATTGGATTAAGTGCGTTATGTTATTTGGTATTAGCAAGACGGTTAACTATTTATTAATCATAAAAATAATAAACTACGCAGGATATTATAGTCAAATACAATTTTAATGTTTGGAAAACCATGTAAAACATTCAAATTAATAATTATGTATATTCTTAAAACGTATCTACTATACAGAGTAGGACGGTATATATGAAAAAAAAAAGAAAATTAAATATGTCCATTTATGTTCAATTATTACCTAAAAATCTTTAGATGTCAAATGTAAACCGGTTATTAAGTATTTTTTCATTGCTCGACATTAAAAAAAAAAAAACCCAAAATATATAGATCTATTAAAAATTTGATATATTCAAAAAGTATATATTTTAGTTGTTAAAAAATATAAAATGTATCAAAAAAGGATACTGAAAAGTTCAACAAATAAAAGTATACTACCACTAATTGATGCCATTATTAATTAAGAAAAGTAAATCAAAAAAGGTACCTAAGTATGCTAATACTGTAAAATATATCCATTTTTTTGAACTTATGGTAGGCACCTAATAAATAAAAAAAACTGAAATCGGACCAGAAGTTTTAAGTTTTAAGTTGATAGTAGGTACATAATATAAGATAATTTTAAAATATACAGGTGTCAACAATTAATATTTTTAAAG